TATCCATTGTCATAAGAGCTCTCTTTATACAATCTATCGCAATTTTTTATTGAGGGATTATCTTGACCTGCATTTACTGTTTCTATGACGATCGAAGCTTGTTGCCTGCATGCTATTATTGATGTCGGATTATTGCTTATGCATTGATTTATATATCTATTATACAGTTGAAGGGCTCACTATATACAATGGGCTAACCTACATTTTATAAAAATGTGAGTTAGATTACTATTTCCCGTCACTTTAACTTTAGAGCTCAATTTTTCCATTTTTACAAAATGCGAGTTAGCTTTTATGTATGATGACTTAAATGTGAGTTAGAATTTACTATTGCAGTAAATCCTTCAATTATAATTATCATAATATAATATTATAAAGGAAGAAATAAAATTAAAATAATGTGCAAGAAATTCTAAAAGATTAACAGGGTTCCATTTTTTTTCGCAAAAAATAGTTAGCAGGAGCTATTTTAAAGCATTTAATAATTAGCGTGCTAGATATCAAGCGACGCGGTAGCGGCACGACGCTAAGTACATTATAAGAAATTGACATGAATGTCACTGCATAAACAAATGTCGCGGGGTTACTAAGCTTATCCAGAATTCCTTCATCAAAATTTATTTCAGTTAAAATATCTCAGAAACTAAAACCGTAATAAAAAATCAAATGATAGTTTTACTATATATTTGAAGTTACGAGCTTTCGATTGCGATCAGTCCGATTAAAATTTTAATCGGATTGGTCGCAATCGAAAGCTCGTACTTCAAATATATAGTATACTCATTCCTGAGAACTCGAGATCTCTTAACCCGAAAAGATCATTTGCATTATTTTCCAAGTTTCAAACTCACACGTACACATACACGTAAATCCAGTTTGTAATTCAAGAGGACTTTACAATGCTTACATATAATATTATTAATTAAATATTATGCAATATAAATATTAAAGTACAGTCTAATATTTAAAATTATATAATACACTAACATAATCGTCGTCATCTGAACTCGTTCGACGTCATCCGGTGTCGTTCGACGACAGTAATCGCTACCCAATTTCAGCGCGTATTACTTTTATTCCTAGGGATAGAGACAAAAGTAATAAATAACACACTCTTTAAAAGATTACTTTTAAAAAAAACTGATGCAATTTATTTACATAAATTAACAGTGATAAAATAAAAAAGTAAAAAAAATCAAAAATTAAAAATTCAGGACACTTTTAAAAAAAATTGATTTATTTTTTTACAAACAAAAAATATCCTGAATTTTTAATATTCGATTTTTTTTTTAATTTAGGTTCAAGATCTGCGTAAGATCATATTTTAACGAAAAAATTTTGGATTTTTTATTTCAGATAATTAGAACGACCTATAGCCTGCACCGCAAAAAAAAGGAGTCAACTTCGAGCAGCTGTAGCGCCGCCATTTAAATTTTTATGACACAAAAAAAATTTTTTCTTATAGCATTTATTGTCAATATTATGATATTCTTTACCAAAATTTAATAAACCTTTTCATTTTTTATAAATAAATTTGTAAAAAAACGCCTGTTTACATGATCCTCCCCCCTTAACGGTCTAACTGGCTCTTAAGTGCTTGTATAATTCTGTGTGAATTTCTACTCATGAGTCTCTAACTTTGTTGAAGGAATGACCTACCGGCGACTCCATGAAAGTGCGAAACAACATATGATTGCGCTCGTTTGTGTCTAATAGAGAAATAAAAAAAATTGTGTTTTCTTGCGATTTTCGCTAAGGTACGTAGCTTAATTATTAGCAGTAATTGTTTCTTAATCAGTGTGAATGATTTTTTTATAAGAATTCTCTGTCTTTAAATGTGTATTCAAGGTTAAAATTTTTCACTTGTTGCTTAAAATTTATTCTAAATTCTTTCCAAATTCACGCCAAGTAGGTTCTTTGGGCAAAGTGAATAGAGGCTACGTTTACATCGTGCGCTTAGCCCGCGATTTATATGATGTCTTTGTTTAAGGATAAACAAGGACATTTTATTGTATAGGCCGCGGCCTAAATACACGATGTAAACGTAGCCAGAGGCAAAACGAATGGCCCATCCTCTCTACTCGATATGTGATTGCACTGAAAATACCGGGAAGACGACGGGACAGACGAGTGAACGAAAGGCACATGATTGTTTACATCTCACTTTTACATTTTTTCCACAACGCAGTACGTGTTCTGAAGAATACACTGACTCACTGTCCAAAGATCCAATGCAGTCAGTACACCAATGCGCTCATGAAGGCTGCATTACATATAGAGGATTTGGAAGTTACTATTGTGATGACAGCCGACATTTTGATTTTTTGAATTCCATCCTCATTGCTCGAGTGACCCATTCGCTTTACCCAGGGGAGTCGGGCAAACCGGATGGCTTCTCTTTTTTTACGTTTTGATTAAAAAGACATTTAAATGTTCAAGTTCTTTAATTTAATTTAATTTTATTTCAAAGTTGATTCCATTAATAGAATTATGAGAATAAAAAGGTTTTTTATCTTAATTTTAACTGTGTCATTTTTCTTCCCAAACCTTAATATGTCTACTGTACCCGAACTTCCCCTTACCTGTGTATTGCTTTAAACTTCATGCCGAAACGATTTTTCGATCTCGAGAAGCAAACTCCACTAACTTACCGCAGTAATATCACGAGTTAAATTGACTAGCCATTTAACAATTTGATGCTTTTTCGCATATTAGAATGATCTTAATAATGCTAAACGACATATTAAAATCTGTAAATAATTAATTCTTACGGCGAGAAATATTACCTCGGCTGGAAGTCGAACCCGAATCTCTAGCATTCCGTGCGAGCGTCCTAAGCCATTAAGCTACCGTTGAAGGCTACTATTTCTATTGGTTGTGTTCTCACATAAACGGTCGGATGAAATTAAATACTTAATATTGTTAAGAATATATGCATTTAAGTAAAATATATGAAATATTTAACTTAAATCTTAAATTTATATATTTTTATGTGTGTGTGTGAAAAAAAAACGAACTAAATTCATTTAGTAAAATGAACAACTATTTTTTTCAGTATACCTTATATATTATGTATATATAGTTTATGATATATATGGTGTATATATATTATATTAGGATGGTAGTTATTTTAATAATTTTTTGAATTTAATCGGGACGCCCCCCAAAATGGTTCAATATTTAAAAAAAAAAATAACACCAGATCTTTTTCAGATTTTTTGAACAATTTTAATCAGTGTCAGGACATGGGGAGATAGAGAGACACTTTTGTGAACAAAATTCGACCGAAACTCTAATTCTTAACCAAGTTCTTTTTTCAATTTGCTCGAAATTGAATGAGCTGATAGCCCATTTTGCGTAAATTTTGATTGACGATCCAAAATAAAAATTGTCGATCCAATGAAGTGAGCAGAAAAAAATTAAAATTATACGATAACGAATATTGGATCGGCAATTTTTTATTTAAACCGTAACCAAAATTGATGCAAAATGGGCTTACTTATAACAAATTCAATTTCGAGCAAATTCGAAATAAAACTTTAAAATTAGTTAAGAATTAGAGCGTTGATCGAATTTTGATAACTAAGATGTTTTTGCGCCTACTCGTGCCCTGGTGACACGGGTTAAAATTGTTTAAAAAATCTGAAAATAATCTGGTGTTATTTTATTGAGATGTTGAATCACTTTAGGGAATGTCCCGATTAAATTTCAAAATTTGTTAAAATAACCACCACTCTAATATGGGTATATAAATATATATATATATAGACAAGGTCTACGTATGTGTACATATTTGTATATATATATATATATAAATGTACACATACGTAGACCTTGTCTATCAGTCGTTCTCAAGCTTTTGACGTGGTTAGTTGTCAGCAAATAATTTGAAATTCAACCGTATTTCAAAATCTTAATTACAACGTCTAAGTCCATGGCCTGTAAGTTATTAAATCATTAAAATTTCGGTTTTATGTAACGGCAGTTGTCATTCTAATTTTATAGAGCTCTTTTCTCATGATACAGTCAGGTTTTGACACATTAATATGTTTCTTTCATTTTACTTTTCGTAATAGCTATCTGTTTATTATAACTTTATTGTTCGGAATCAATCTATTCTCACCGTAAAATAGATGTTGGCTATTGTCCATTGCTCATCGAATTCAGTCTAATTTCTTCTGTTAAATCTATTTATCAGATTTTAAAACATGACAAGCAATTACGCTTTACTCCTAATATTACATTTTTCATACTTATTAAACATTTATGCCAGATGTTGCTTTTAACCTTGATGACGATATCTTATTTACATGTTTCAATTTGTATCCAGATTGAATTACATTTAATTATTTTTACTGTTTTTCCATGTGTGTGTATCATGTGTTTAATTCAAAATTTTACTTAATATTTTATTTATGCAAATAAGAATTTATCTAAATAAGAAAGAAATAAAGAAACTTTCATGTATAGAATGAACGTTCCAAATTACATATCGAGTATCAACGATAAAATATATCAATTTATCAATAAAATACACTAAAAGATGATAGCTGACTTTTACAAAGATTTCGTATATTCTGTATTGTCAAAGCGTAAATTTCAGTACTTACTAAACCAGTACATGCATCTCTGATAATTCTATATCTAAGTTGTTAATGATACAATATATCGACCGTTATAGATAATGTCGTAACAACAATATTCTCTTGTAGTTTTGCAAAAAGTGTTTTAAGCCGCTTAATGTGATAAAATAACTTTACATTAACGATAAACTTCCGCGACACAGTGTCGATAAAAAGTTTATAAAAATAGCAAAATATTGCCTTTTTACGGTTTTGAATAAACTTGAAAGTAATATGTCCAAAAAAATTTAGACCGTGAGAACTACGAAAAGAGTTTAGGGAACGTTACAATAAAATTAATTGAGGAAAATCTCTAAAGAACTTTAGAGTTGAAAAAAATGAGTTTTCAATCTCAAAATCCACGACATTTAATTCGAAATGAACAAACGCATAACGACACAAGAGAATATGTACAAAAATACGGTAAGATTTATATTGTCCCTGATTAATATTATTAGTGTTTTTTATAATTTTGTATTATTTTAATAGTTTTCCGTTTTATGTTACCATTTTCGTATTTGTTTTATAACAATCATCTTCCTTAATATTAAAGCTGAGCCTTGTACCTCCTCGAAAACTTTGAGACGAAGTAGTAGATTTAGAAACGAACAGACTGAAGTTAAACCTCACAAATGCAGAGTGTGTGGTAAAACGTTTCAGAATAAATTTAATTTGTATGAGCATGAAGGAACTCATGAAGAAGAAAAATCATATCAATGCAAGTTTTGTGATAAATTATATAAGTGAGTACTTAAATGAGTAACAAAAATTAGAAGAATTATTTGATAATTCGGTCTCTAAACTTAATGTAATTGGTAACAAATGTTTAATATTACTACGGTTACTTTTTAGACGAAGGCATGATCTATATAATCACGAAAGAACTCATATAGTTCCAAAAATGCATAGAGTCAAGGAACCATATCGTTGTAAGGTATGTACTTTAAAATTATCGTTAGTTCAATTATTTCTCGTTTGGTTGTTTTTCCATTTTTACGTTTCTGTAATTACATATATGCTGCATTTTAGGTTTGCGGCAAAACTTTTGCTTTTAAATCTGACCTAATGGTTCACGGAGTAGTACATGACGATAAAATGCCATATGAATGTTCGGTGTGTGGCAAGGGCTACCTGCGAGAAGAAAGACTTTTAGCACACATGCAGAATAAGGTCAATTATAATATAACTTTTAATTCAGTAGCAGACTCACATTTGTCTTCCAAATTGTGTTATACGCTCGTAATCATATTTCAGTAGACTATTGTAAATACCACAACACATTTAATAAAAATTATTTATTTTTTAGGGGCACACAAGTGATACCGTACTACAAACCGCGACTGACAAGAGATAGATCGAATGAAATCGTAACTATTCTTGATAATAATGACGAATCGTTGATAAAAGAAGCTGAAAATAAGAATGTGATATGTTTTTTACGAGATATGTAATAATATGTATGTATACATGAGAGTAGTCATAATTTTTCTATGAGATACAATTGAACATTGTCAGACACAGGAGCACCGTGTAAAGTTGACAATGCGTTCAGAAGGCGAAACAATCCAGGAATTTCTCGCAGTTTCTTTAAAGTATTCTTTAAAGAATTTTAAGATGATTGATTCTTGCATTTATGTTCTTACTGAATTTAATGTAGTACACTCGCGAATTTTATACAATGAAAATATACATTTCTTGAAATTGAAACTATACATTGTACTAGAAGATGTTGAAATATTTGTGCAATTACATATAATGAAATTGAAGTTTCGGTACTGAGATGTATACAATTAAAAGCTGCACTTTTTATACGTGGCGTCTATACAAAGCTCAAGAAAATGTCGCGTTTGTTTTTTTATGGCCTAAATTGGCAGCGAGATGTTAATAAAAAATGAACATGCGATGGAGGAACATGAAATGCATATTGCGAAAAAAATGTCATTTAATTTTTTACCGTTTAGTTTGGAAAAGGGTCGTAAAAAGAATTCAGTTTTCATAAACATTTGTCAATCCATCATGTAAATCGAAGGGAGATAGCAATGAGCTGCGTTAAGCTGTGTCTATATTCATTTTTTTCGTTTGCTTCCATGAACAAACACAATCAAAAGTTTTCTTTCACTAACGAGAGTGGAAATCGGGAGTGAGAATATCGCTGCTGAACGCACGGGCGGACTTAACTTTTGAAACGTATCGCGTGTGTACTGCCTTAAAGGTAGGTTCTGCTCTAGTACGTATAGCGCTGTAAGCATTATTTGTGCTTATTTAATATTTGATGATTAACAATGATGAAATGATGTTTAACAGCATGTGAACGTAAGAACAAAATGTATATAACAATCGTAATAAAAAATTACTTAATGATAATTTACCCGGTTGCGTCTTTAGAACGCAGTCTAATTTTATGGTTGAATGTACGTGCGGACTATTATTGTTTTTTAAAAAAAGGATATCATATTAAAGCAATTGATATTAGAGCATTAGTATTTTGTGACTGTATCGATTATTGATTCATCGCCATATTCTTTTAATTAGTTCTGCGTAAAATCCTTTTGATTTAAATAAAGATTGACGAACTATTCTGGGGAAGAGGACCACTACAAATTGATTGCCAACAGCATCGTTTCCCTATTACATTTGTCGATAGTTCAATTGCGCACAGAAATTATTGCCTATAATTTGATTGCTTACATGCACTATACTGCACATATATATAAGAAGGAAAAAAGGCACGTATTGCTATATCGTATCTACTAAAATGTTGTGTTTGCATAGCGTGTCAGAAATTATTTACACTATCGTGTAATTTCATATGGGACAAAGTAACATGCGCCGTGGATAAGACAGATAAGCGAAATACTCGTGCCATTTCGATCGGTGGTGACATTTTTATGTGCCGTATGCAAAAGGCGCGGGTAATCAAAAACTCGTTAAGACGATTTATAATTTTCCGCTGCATTAATCCCTCTCCTTGCTATATAGTTATATTTTCAGTCAATTTTTTTATTATATGCTTTTAATATTTTTATATATTATACAGGATGTTCCAGGAGAAAATAATCGATTTTCAATAATTTTAAATATATGGTATTTTGTTTTAATATTGATATATTTTAATGTTGTAAATTGCTTTACATATAGGGAATAGCAATATAAACATTTTTTTATATCATTAAAAATAAGCGAGATACTTCAGATGGACGATTTAAGTGGACCATCCTGTATATTACTAGCAATTAATGAATAATAATAATGACCCGATTGGTGTCGAAACGTTTGTTTTTGTAGCGTTTTTTACTTATAATTTTATGTTAATATATATCTTTAATACTGAATTTACTATATTTGGCTCGTAACCCTTTTCAACATTATTTTTTAAATTTTATTACTTAAGCCATATTATATTATATATTTTAATGGATAATTGTTTAACTTTATTAAAAATGGGAGTTTATTTTAAAAATCTTACAGTTTTTCCTTGAGTAAGATTTGCTATAATAATAATTATAAGATTTGTTATATTATTGCAGTCTTTGCCTTAAAATATGACATATTTCTGTGTCACTGTAGTGGCTTTTCTGTTCTATAGAAGTTAATTAGTGCATTAATTCACAAAGTAAAAGTGATTTTAATTATTACTTTTTCTAGCTTCTTTTAGTTTAAAAGGAAAATGTCTTATTACGTGTTGTTAATGATAGTTTATTCTAAATTTATAATTAGTGTATTAACTCTCTCTCGAAGTAGCATCGATTTTAATTCATCTCATTTTTTAGCTTCTTTTTGTTTAAAGAAAATATTCTAAAGATACGTATTATTAATAATAGATATTCTACATTTAACATTACAAAGATAATGTACAAATTTTTAGTCGGAAAGTTCACCCCTCGTTCATAGTTTAGTCGATATTTCGAAATGGACCTTTATGCGACCTTTTCCCTGAAAATCGCAGGAATAATACACTGGCAAGGTCTGGCATATCCCTCCTGGGACATCCTGTATCTTTCGTGAGCGGCATATAGGGGGTGCGAATGTTTGTACCAGGAGCGAAATACGGTACACGCGTCACTACGAAGGATTGTCGAGGTAATAATAAGAACGATATATTGCCTACCACACGTGCGCGTGCTACATGAGACTTGAATTATAATAATTGAGAAGGCGAGCATATACGAAACGTCGACACCTCTCGTACTCGAATTAAGGAGCAAAATGTTGGTTCGCTATTTCACATTAATCTCTACGGAAGACAATAAATGTAAGATTTAAGCGCAGATTAAACGGTTCGCGGTCTTCCGTCAATAATTGGGTGAAATCGTTTCGATTAATCGGTCCATAGTTATTAAATAAATAAAATAAATAAATAAATAGTGATGCCCAATAATTAATCAGTGTTGGTGCGAAATGAGGCAACAGAATTTAGTAAATATCAACGGAACAAGAGCATGAACGGGAGCGCGTGTCCGTTTCCAAAACACGAGGCTTTCCAATCAAATGAAGAGCCATCGGAGGCTTTGTATTTTTTCTCTCGAAGTACTCGTAAATTCCGCTGAAATGTCTGTGGAAATTATTGCACTTCCGCGGCAGCGCGATTGCATTGGCAAAACGAAATCAATAACCGCACGTTCGGTTTCCGCTTTCGCTGAATGTTCGAATGAGGAGAGGGTTAAACACGAGTCTAGTGCACGTTTCAATGATTTTATACAAGTAAATTTATACTGCGTTGAGTGAAATGTTAATTGTGCCCTAACGACCCGCAGCGATACAAGGAGTAATATTTGTTTGCTGCCGCGTTCGCTAGATGTGAACTACATTGCAGTCACATACAGACTTATTATGATATTCAAAACGAGATTGAACGTGATAATTAAATTGCTTGTTTCTATGGTAATAATACTTACGAGGACTTTCATGTATATGATTAAGGCGAATACGAAGGAAAAAAAAGCAGTTTTATGTTGGGGAAATGCCTTTCTTCGGCGAATCGATATGCGGGAAATTCGGAAGCTACGACAAAAAAAAAATCGACACGATACGTGCATTAAAAGTCGATGGCTTTTTTTCGCGCGGCCCCTCTGACCCCAATATAGCGATAGATATATGAAATATGACCGGCTGGCGCGATCGTCTACGGGATCGGTGAGCACGTCAAGCGAGAAGTTGCTCGAAAAGTGCACTTCCTGCGAGAATTCCCAAGCACTTTATCGGGATTTGCCGAGCCCCGCGGGAGGATGTCTTCGACCGAATGCTCGCTGGACCAAGACTACGATTCTCTCTATGCGTACCATAAAAAATGGCTTTCCTTAAATTCATCGGCGCCTGCTAGGCGAGACTCCGCTGCCGACGAAATTTAGCTAGACGCAATAAACAATGTCCGGAACGAAATCCATGAAGCGCGACTGACTTCTGCGGACTCGTGAAAATAAAAGAAAAAATTGTAGCTCCTTGAAACTAATAAACGTACAGTGTAACACTTTTATTAACAGTCATATTTCATATTATCTTCAAATCACATTTATCACATAATAACAGTTAGCGTGGAAAGAACGATTTTGCTGAAATATCTCTAAAAATTTACAAGATTTGAAAATAATTTGAATAATCAAAACGATTATGTAGGAAACTCCAACAAACAAACGTGACAAGCAACGCTGCAAAAAATGTTGACATTCCAGTTGACAGTTTAAGCGTTCTACATATTTTGATAGTCCAATAAAATTATTTGTACATCTATATTTAACTAAATTTTTATGTAGGTATTTCAGCAAAACTGTTCTTTTGATATAATACAAAAATCATAAAAAGAAACATAAGGAAAAAAACAAAAATTTCGAAAAGAATTAGCATAGTGAAAATGATATAATAAAAATAACCTTTGTTTTTCTTTCTTATTTAAAAAATATACATTTTAAGTTTAATAGTCCTTTATATGCTTTACGTTCCCACGACAATTTCCCGAAAATCTTCTCCTGACTTCGGAAAGAGCTCCAAGAGAAAGAGATGTCCGGCGATACATTAACGCGAAGTGATACACTTGTCAATGCGAAGTGGCAGGGCAAACAGGGTTATTTCTTCTCGGAGGAAGAAGGGTCGGGCCGTTGTCTGCGTCCTCGCGTGAGAGGGAGTCGTCACCGAGTCTGAGGACTCAACGGACCAAGAGGAAATCCCACCCTATGTGCACGAGCGATAAAAAATGGACTTGCTTAAATTCAGCGTCAACCCCCGAAGAACCCCTTTCGACCTCTGTTTCTTTCTCTCTCTTTTTCTTCCTCTCTTTTTCTCTCTTTCATCCTTTTACTAGAAGAAGCTTGGCCAACCATTGCGCCGATAAATAATGGCGATGCCCAGCCCCGGCGCGCG